GAATCCCTATCTTTTATAAGAATAAAGTACATTTCGTGGATACACTTTCACGAAGAACCTATTTCTGGGATACCGCAGTCCCATGTGGATCAGAAAATAGCCACAATGTAGTACAACTAAACCCTGATGAAAATAAATATTATCTTCTCACTCCATACCCCACATTAATGCAATCACTCAAAAAATTTTCACCAGAAAGCATTCGCGCTATCGCTCGAAACCCAAATATAGACTTACAATCAATAGGAATCTATTCAAAATCAGATATTCAACATCACATTAGAACACAACAATTCCAAGAGTTACTAACACAAATGGACACTATACAAAGACAATCAATTGACCAAAACTTACGCAAACTTGCAGAAACCGCAGGATTTGCCGATATCTACACGCAAGACTATAGCGGATATTTTAAAGACATTAAAGATTATATATATCTAAACGGCGAAAAATACCGTCCCCAAGATATATCACCAATCAACATTTTTAGCTTTGTTACACTCAAAAATGAGATCCTAGATTTTCTAGGATGGCCCTACTACATCTTAGAAAAATTGACTATTTTATACGCAATGTTTAACTTTATTGGATTTCTTTTCTCACTCTTAAAAGGAATCTACAATACATGTGCTATACACACACAAGTAAACAGACAAGCAAGTGTAGCACGCATACTCTTTGCAGGATTTTTTGGAATCTTTTCCACATCTATAAACAAAATTCTTTTAGACGCACAAATAAAAGAATATAACACAAAAATAACAACACGACAAAATACATACGACGAAGAACATAACAATGTAGACACACAGCCAACGGCACCACAATTGCCACCCCTGCCAAATAACCATCCACTATCCCTAGTCCCACGAAATTTTCGAAATTTAGCAATCACACATAATCCAAATTTTAGACTCACCACATCACAAAGTCCCGTACAGCATATAATGACACATCAATCACACGATGATAACACTTATGAACAAATTATTGAACAACCCCATACCACCGCTTTTCAATCTCAAAATAATAATTTTTTTAGCCCACGATGAGCCGCCAACTTGGATCACTCCATCGATCAAATTCCCATCCAACCAACCTTACCTCTTCAATCCCAATAATCCCACTTTTTGCTTTTCCGCCACCCGATTTTCCATCTAGCAATGTAACATCAGGCATGAATTCCGACACTAACTCACACATCTCAGTTTTATACTCCATCTCACAGCTAAATAACCCGAATATTGAAACCCCCGATGAATTTGCCGACTCAGAACCATCCCCATCCAATAATTTTCATAACCTTTCTCATTTTTCTCAACCCCCTTTTCAACCCATATTATCCAATAACCCTGACCCAATCACTCCTACACCCTCTTATGCTTCCCAAGTTACCCCAACCTACTCCTCATACCACTCTGACCAATCATCTCCAGATACCCCCCGAATCTCACCAGAGCTAGACAATTTTATTACCCTCCAACAACAACCCTACCACCTTAACACCCCGACCATAAACCAAATCTCCTCCACTACAAATTCAACCAATCCTCCTACACCCTCTTCAAATTATACTGAATCATTAGCACCATCATCCACATCAACTGAATCCTCACTCAATACTAATAGAGCTTACCGCACTTTTAAAAGAAAATTCCCCAACCATCCTTTCCCAGCAAAACCAGGAACAGCCCGTGAATACATCAATCACCCCCAGCATACTAACACAAGAGAATTTTTAGCTATCACTTTACCCTCATTTCCACAATACACCTTAAACACCCCTCATGACGCTAACGAAACACGCAACTTTGTAGACGAATACGTTTTAATGCCCACTCTCTCTTGGACCTCATACTATCATTTCACTAACCCTCTTTGCTTACCTTTAACCAACACTTCCATCGATACAGACCGAAACAAAGACATGCTATATCGACTAACTACACCACTCACCGCTAGACAATTTACTTACGTAGGATATAAAAAATCACTAAAAATACACACTGCACCTAGAGCTAATGAATATACACTAGAATACTACGATCACAACATCATAAGAGCTAACCAAGATCAATTCTTAGATGAAGATCGCTTCGCTAATCCACAAATCACCGAGAAATTTTTCATCAAGACACCATATGTATTTACACTAAACATCTTTGACCGAAAGTTTGATCACATTATTTCAGAAGCACTAACAAGCACACAAGCATACGAAAGTTTTAAAGAACGCTTCCAAATCTTCTCACTAACCTTTCATTTCCTTGCACCACACGAAAGAGATTTACACTGCTCACACGATATTATGTTGCGAACTAAACAAACACATACATACAGTTACTATCGTTTCATCCAAAATCACTTTGACCTCCACACACCCTCTAGACAACCACACCATCGTTTCCAATTCATCAATTCAAAATACACTTCACCATATTTCCTAAATTTCACTTATTGTATTAAAGACACTAACCTTCATGGTATTCTTCGTAATTATGACCCCATAACCCAAATGTACATCTTCTGTCCCATCACCAAGACCTTCAACGCCGAAGAATCCCGACCCTTCCTTATCCCGCACGAGTTTGTACAGCCTATAGAAATCCCCATTTTAGAATTCATCCATAACACTACATTTAACCACAAATTATATAACTTAATCCAAAACACACCTTATGAGTTTGCAGTAGGCACTGAAGAACTAACCACCATTAAGGCACTTCAATTGCTTTGGCCACTACTTCAAACTAAAAATATCATCCGCATATTAGCTAAACTACTCACAACTTCAGAACTAATTCACGACATCTTCCCCCACGGTTTTTTCCCCGACGACTAACAGGTAAGTACGAATTAAATGAATATTACTAACTAATTAAAAAATAAACACTCACCATTCTTTATTCATGTTTTCTTTAGATTTTTAGCCTTCATCCGACGATCACCTACAAAAACCACAAAAGACAAATAAAAATCGCAAATTTCATCAAACAAATTTCCAAAATTCTATTAATCTCTTACACATATAAATTTATAAATTTAATACCAATGCAGTAAATTAATTTATAAAATTTTCCCCCCAAAAGCAGTAAATCTACATATGATGAAAATTTGTATCTTAAAATTCCCCCATTACTAGCAGTAAATTTCCAAATTCTATGCAGTAAATTAATAAATGCAATTGCAGTACTAACCTTTTGATATTTTCATTCACTCGCACAGAAATTCTATCCACACTCGCACAGCTCGCCCACGAAGAATTGTTTAAAATAATGAATTTCAGTTTCAAGTTTTCACACTCAATAACTCTAACACACGATAACAAGTTTCAAACTTTCCTTTAACCCGGTTGGAGAGGAATCATATACTAAACAAAACTAACCAACGCAGCTTACTAAATACCACAAATCATAGAATAACAGCATGACTAAGAAAAGGAAACCAACGGTACCCAAACCGGACTAACCCAGTTTAAAACTGGATAATTTATTCTTTTGAAGACTATTATAAAGTCTTAGAAAGAAATAATAAAACACAAAAAAGTCGAAAGACAAACCCATACCACAAACAATTTGATTTTTGAAAAAAGGACACAACCAAAGAAACATAAGTAAAACCACAACAAACCCAACATAAAACGTTGTCACATAACAGGACCCCTCACAAAAACCGCATGAAATCATACTCCCACACCTGGCCTAACCCACCAGGAAAGGACGTCCTGAGCATGCTCTATAGCCGGCCTAACCCACCGCGCTACATCCACGCTTTGTGACCACACCTTTATTTTTAATAAGAGCTACTCAAGGGTGAGTAACTCTTCAAAATAACTGAACTAAAACAAAAAGCTTTTGTGAAAACAACTAACTAAAATCATGATAAAAAAATATTAAACTAATAAAAGTTTTATAAAATGTAAAATCACAAGATGCAATATATAGATCAGAATACAACACCAAGGACGAACATCAAAAGACAAGACGACCTCACTACACTCGAGAGAGAATGACCAACTACAATCGATATGCCACTCACAATCACAACTCAAAGGATTTAGAGTACGACTTGACTTCGCAGAAAAGGACTTCATTGAACTAGACCAATGACCACCTCGATGTTCAAGTATACGTACAAATCCGAGTAATCAGGCATCCCCTCCACGCACAATCTCCACGCCATTCCCAAGCTAGATCAGACACAAAGGAAGTTCTCCCTGAAGAACAGAAAAACCTGACATAGCCAACCATTCTGAAATCAGAATTGGTTTTGTTGCAAAGACTCAGTCGTTGTCACAAGGAGAAGCGAAAGAAAATTGTGATGTTCGCCAAATACCAACGTCCATCATCCATCCTTGAACTACAGAAGAACTGTTCTAAAAAACACTGTAAAACCCGGATGGGTGGAACCTGATCTAAACTATATTTTATGATTGGATAAATTAAATGTTTTACCAATGTAAAGTATTTAATATTAACCAATCATGATCCATCTAACTAACAACCCACTTATTTGTAAGTGCTGAAGTTACTTGTAATTTCAGCACCAGAGAGATTTGAATTTAACTTAGAAATTAGTTGGACTCTCCCGAGCACTTCAGCAGCCGCAATAAACCAGTATACCCTAGATCTATTGAGCCTAGCAGAGACTAGTTAAACAACCTGAGACTAGATAGTATAAGAGTAAGATTAGGATCGGTATTAGACTAAGAAGTTGCACGAATCTATCCGGCCGAAAATAAGATAGCGTGACGAGCAGACGGTGTACCCTATCCGAAATTACTCTATGAGTTACACTTCGGTCCTAACTCAATTTGTTGCTAACAGAGGTTTCCAGGAAATGAGTTCAGATGACTCCTGTGAACAAAGTTATTTACGAGAACAAGTCTAGTACCCGATTGCAACACCCTTGCTTATCGCAAGGGTAATGATGTGAATTCCCGTTACAACAATTTTTGTTTTTCTCTCATGAGATGTATCTGTGAGACGATGACTTACATTGTTGTACTTCTTCTGGAGCTCCACCAGCTCGCCCAGTAATTGGGTCTTCTCCTGTTGCTGCTTGTGAAGATTGGTATTCCTCGCGTCCAGCTCAGTCTTGAGCAATCTTGCCTCCTGGTTTGCCTGCGACAGCTGGGACACGCACTCCTGAAGCACATATACTCAATTCGTCGTCTAAATAATATTCAAATAATAGGGAACTTCGAGCAACTATTATTCTGAAATTTGCCATAAACTTTCAGCGCGGTAGCTCGTGGAAGTTTTCAACTGAGGTTTTCCCATCAAAAATGAAATGAATAATATCCCTAGACTTCCATGTTTGATCCTATTGTGATTTTTTGATTAATCTGTTTGTCGGTGTACAGCCTTTCTAGAAAGAAATGAAATCTTGAACAACCATGTTAAATTTTTTATCGAGTTCCGTACTGAGCCAGTGCTTCGGTTATCGTGGAAGTCAGGCTCCAGCTTTATTTTAAGAGGGTATTGAATTGATCGCTACTGGATTGTATTTCTGGTAGCCTACGACAGAGTTTATTTAGTTAATGTTCATTAACAATACCATATCCGTTTTCCCCATATTATTTGAATATTAAGACGATTTATCCGCAAGGAAAAGGACCAACATTTGAGCTGTTCAGCTCTTCACGGAGAACCGCTGTTGTGCCCCATTTGCTTTTCCAGTGTCAATACTTGCTAGCATACAATCATTCTGACCACATTCGTAAAAAGCAACAAGAAAAACTTTTGGATCTTCAAATTAGCGTCGTTTGTTCTGCGTGTGATTATAGAACTACAAAAACATAGAAAATTAGTGAATACGGCATAAAACACTACAATTGTCTTCAAAAAATAAATAAACGAAAAAAAAGAAAAAAAATCCCAATTTTTTGCACAAAACTTTTAAATTTGTATAAAAATTGAAATGGCCAAGATAAATCACTTAACGACGCATCTAAAACTGGTTTTCTTTGAAAAAAAATCGAATTTTTCTAAGCCTAAATGGCCAATATTTATATATAACGAACGTTACTTGATCGCTTTACTAGTTCGAAATTGGGGAAAAATTTTTTTATCTGAAGGGCCTTTATTTTGATATATCACTCAGACCATTCCGATGATTATTTGTGGTACCTGATTTTGCGTGGAAAACAAAACGAAAAAAAAACGAGCACACCCGAATACAAAGTTCCTCCACATTTTCAAATGGTCGGAAAAATAATCTAAATCGCTCCATAGAAGTTCTGGAGCGGGGTTTTAACGGAATTTTATCTTATACGCATTTGATGGTTTGAATTTCAATGGTCAGAATTTGTAAGTTTAATTTTTTTTCCTAAAGAGGCGAGGCTGCGCTTCGTAAACACTAGTGAGAACACGAGAAAAAAGCAGCTCTACCAAGTAAAACATAAAAAAGGAAATAAGCCTCGAATTAGTGAAAAAAAATCGTCTACATGTCAGATTCGATCTTGCGACATAGGCTGTATGAATTTCAAGCGCTAACTACTCAACCACGGCTCAACAATTCACAAACACTAGCCACAAATAAAGCAGAGAACAGATGCTTTAAAACTTCCAATGCTAAAGACCGTGATTATAGCAAAAGTGCCACCAAATATGAGCACTTTTATTTGCGAGTTAGCTTGGAAAACAAAGAAGGTTCGTTCTAATATACTACGCTCGCAAGCTCACTAAAATTTTTAAAAAGTTTAATTTCCATCTACTATGTTAACGCAAAGAAACTTGATGGATAGATTTTCTACTCGGTTATTTCCCACTTTCAACGGTTATTTCCATTAACTGTTTTTCAATGGTGCGTGAAATATTATGAACTAAGTTTTGCGTATATCACTCATTACCTCATTTGAATTGTACTGTGAGTATTTTGTTAAATTAGGTTAAATGCTTTATGCTGCGGTTTCAGGATTTGACAGGAAATTTAGCCGAATTGTAACATCAGCAAACTGTAGTAACATCAACAAACTAGAGTACACGCAGTGTCTACTGCTTCTACTAAATCATTAACATATAAGTTCAATAACCCCGAGGAAACCCTTGTTCCGAATTTTGATACAATCAGAATATGTGCCATTTACTATTGTTTCCTGCTGTCTATTTTTCCAGGAACGAATTTATTGAAGTAATGGCGGACAGATCAAAACCAAAGTTTTAATTTCCGGGTTACACAAATGCAACAACACTCCTGTAAAATATGGCAGCTATAATTACTTTTATGTATTTCCTCTGGATAACTTGATTTGTACCTTAAGTAGACTCTCCTCCTTCGCCTCAAAGTAGTCAGTTTTGACTAGACACTCTTCAGTGCTCTGTCTCAGCTCCCCATTCTCCCTTTCTAGCAAATCCAATTTTCGCTCCAACAACTTCACCAGCTCCACGCTTCCCCCACTTCCACTGCCACCTTCCTCCACACTGGACCGAATCAAAAATTTAGACTCATGATACATTCAAATTATTTTGAAAAGCTGGCCATTTTCCTGCGACTAGGATTTCAGTATTTTTGAATTAGCAAATGCATATCTCTAAGAAAACTAGTTTTTCTGTAGATAGTATAAAATTATCAAACAGCACTATTCATTGAGAAAAAAATGAACTATTGAGTCAAAATTATAAACATAGAAAAAAATTTCTGTTACTTTTTTATACCTCAAGCTACACAAATTTGAACTCGCGTACTTTAGGGGAATATATACACAACCGAGCTCTTTTACAAATATAAGGACTAGGGATGCTAGCTATGTCTACTTCTTACCTCGTAATGTCGAATAAAGCTTGCTGGTCCTGGTCTCCATCAGCACTTGTAGATCCATTGGCTGTACCATTGGCGCCAGTGTGATCTTGTGGACTGTTACGGTTGTGGAGCAGCAGTAACTCCTCTTCTAAGTCCGCCTCCTCCTGGTAAAACATATTGAGCACTTCCGTCTTTCGCTCGTTGTCATGTTTCAACTGTTTGACTCTGTCGTTCAGCTGGTCACAGAAGACATTAAGTTCGTCGTTTTGACTTTTCAACAGTACATTTTCTTGTAACAATGCTTGTCCAATTCGCGCAGCAAGTTCCAGGTCATGTTCTTTCTACACAAACACGATAAGAGAAAACGAGTTTAATATTCATTGGTGCTCTTGATATGATCTTCGGTAAAGTCACTATCTCTTACGACCTGAACTAAGCCAAAAAAAAAACAAAAAGGATATAAAAATGACCATCTCCAACGTAGACCGATCTCAAAATTTAATTGAAAACGTTGCGTGTCAGGACATTTGTGTCCCAGACATTTATGTCCCGGCAAAAACAGTCCAAAATGCAAAAAGTGTCCAAGACATTTGGTTCCCAGACAAAATTGTCCCAAAATTGTCCAGGCTATTGGCACACTAGTTAATGACCGGATTAATTTGATAAGCTCTCAATAGGAAGGATGAAATCGATAAGGCCACGCAACTGAGCACTTAGACCAGAAATTACTTCGCGTAGCAAATTAGAGACGAAATTAACACAGGACTCAAATCGTTTACACATACCTACACAATTATATCTTGATTGATAATGTTGCCAAACGTAGACACGAGAGATCATAATTTCATTGTTATTGCTCTCGAGTTCGTGTTGACAATGGAAATTCTTATGACAAATAAAAACAACGAAATGCTAGTTTATGATGCATACGCATACTTCAAACATCGGATTCTAAGAGACACCTCAATTTCAAGAAAGAGGAAACGTATTTTCGACTTTTGAGCTGCTTCGACATTGAATTCCCTAAACGAGCCACCATTGATTTCGAAATAGCGGTCAAAAATGCGTTCAATTCAGTATCCAAAAATGTAAAAACTCAATACTGTTATTTCCATTTGAGCCAAAGCGTCTAGATCTGGAATTCCGAGAGCATGTCCGAATGCTGCTGAGTATCGCTTTCCTGCCTGTAAGTGATGTTTCTACTGCTTTCGAAACTCTTCAGAAGACATGCCCTGAGACAGCCCACCCAATCTTCAATTACTCTGAGGACAATTACGTTGGTCGGCTCTCGGCGGCAAATGGAACTCGTCAAAACCCCAGATTTGAGGTTGACAGCTGGAGTTGTCATCAACGTGTAATAACCGGGCGACCCAGAACCAACAATGCTGTTGAAGGTTGGAATAGCAACTTCGTCAAACTCGTGAATGGCAAGCACCCATCATTTCCCAAACTCATAGAAAAATTTCAAGACGAACAGAAAAACGCTGAAATCTTGATCGAAAAAATGTGTGCAGGGCAAAGAGTGTCACGTTATAAAAAACCTCTTTATGTCAAACTTGACAAAAACCTTTCAGAATTGGTTGCGGCCTACGACCCAAGTAAACTTCTGAGTTTCCTAAAAGGGCGCAGCAGCAACATCAAACTATAATTTAAAGTCAATTTATTTTCCAAAGTTGATATTGCGAAGCAATAATTTTCAATAAATTTTTCTAAGTTGAATTTTTTCCCAGAAAATTTCAAAATTGAGCTAGACCCGATTTGAAAATGGCAAAATGATCAATGTAATCAAGCTTCTCCCACCCTCTTCCCTTTTGGCTCAATCAAGTCAACCCATTTCAACTTTGCCCTAGTTTACCCATTTTTGGGTTTTTTAATTTCAAATATTGACTAAATTACTAAAATTTTTTGTCGAGCCCGAGATTTGAACTTCAAGCCTTTTGACCTTGAGACTTATGACTTCATCACTCGACCAAATGCGCTTTTAAATTTCAAAATTTTCATGAAAGTTTTGTCTCACTTTGACTGTTCTATGGTTAATTGGTACGCATTAAATCTACTTAAAGAACGATCAAACAACCTCAAAAGAACAAAGCATTAAAGATCACAAGGTCAAATCAAAAAAATTAATTTCGCAAAACAATTTCGGACAATTTTGTCTGGGACATAAATGTCTGGTACAATTTTATCATTTCGGACTGTTTTGTCAAGGACACAAATGTCTTGGACACAAATGTCTATGCACCAAAACGTTGTGTTGATCTCACATAAAAAAAATTGCTTAATCACTCGCTTAAAATTGTTTAAAAAGTAAGAGACAACATGGATACCTATCGTACAAATTTGAAAACTATAGAAAACAAATTTTAAAACGGAAAACCGTTACCTCCTCGAGTAGTTTAGTGACAGCCTCAATATCATGGTACGTCTTTGTCATCTGTGCTATTCTTTCGCCTCCAATCACTAAACAAAGCGAGATAAAACCACGTTGCTTTACAAGGGAAACTGAAACTAAATACCTCCTCCATCTACTTCATGTCTTTGCATCCATCTGTCCAGCTTCACATTTAAAGAGATTTTCTCCTTTCAAATACCTTTCATGTGCGAAATTTAACAACCAAACAGCCTCCAATATTTTATTTATCAGTAAAGGTCTACATGTATGACTGCACGTATTTGTATTTTAAACAACAAAAAGTAGGGTCTCACTGAAAAAGGAGAAAAACTGATTGAGAAAATCGGCAGAGAGATCGGCTAGCTGCAGTGGTGTGAGAGGAGAAGCTCGCCTATGGATGATGTCCCCGAACAAGTCCCCTTCTCCCGATGCCTCGAACACCTGGTCTTGAGTGGATCCCGAGACAGCACCTGGTGTATCCTTTTCCCCTCCCAGGAAGTCCTGAGGGACAGAAGCGGAAGAGGATCCCGGAAAAGTACCTGTAGCAGTAGCACCGACTGGAGATGCAAGAGGGGTAGTGCGTAGTTTGTAGCGAGGAATTTGATCCTCAATCAGACTGCAGATCTCAACCTCAGGCAACAACTCACTCGTGTGCACATCTGTTACAAAACTCAGATTCAGTTGAGCCAGACAAACAAAGAATAATTACATTGATAATTTGATTGAATACTAATCAAAGGACTGTTGGTCATTTGATAAAATAATCAATAATTCACGATTGATTTCACTAAAAAGCAGAAAGGTTGGCTGTATTGAAACCAAATTAGCTCAACTCTTATTTTCACCAATAAGAATTCAAAGCTTGCGCTCAATCAACTTTCATTGTTTTGAAGCCAGACAAGAACCGAATTTAGAAAATGAATGAGTATGAATAAAATACTTATATTAGAATTTAAACAGCTCTAACTGCAATTACAATATGATTTGATACCAATACGCAGCCGCTGAAAATGCTTCTCAAATATGGTTTTAAAAAACTGTAACGCCAAAGTGGGATTTCTTTGTCTGAGCTACTTATTCAGATTATCAGCCTAGCTTAATGCGAACAGATGCATTGTTGAATGCCCTTTTGTTTATGTGCAAGTGCAAAAAAAAGTGTTTTGAATTTAGGAAAGCAATAAAGATGCATTACCTGTTAAGACTGCAGCGTCTTGTGTGCGAACAGCAGCTGGACTCTCACTGATGTCCAGTTCAGGCCTTTGATCCTCCCTTTCTTCTCCCTCTATGAAATTATGGTGCTCGTCACCCGCACACAGGAGACTATGTCTGTTTCTATTTGAACTGACCTCCGAATCAACCTCGCTACGAGATCTCGACACTGAATTCTCCCCTTCTATCGCTTCTCTCGCAGAGGATACTTGTATATCCCTGCTGGTTAAAGGCCCAGTGGAAAATTGACCCTGCACACCCCACCTGCTCGGCCCTCCGCCGCCACTCACAGCACCAGTGATAGCACTACCACCTTCTCCCGAAGAAAAGCTAGTTTGCGCGGTATTCTCCTAAAAATACAATGAAATTATCAACCACTGGGATGACTTCAAAAGATAAACAGATTCCACTAGTATTCGCTTAACTTTGTCAGTGATTTAGGATGACGCAATTTTTCAACTTATTCAATAGATTCAACTAACAAACTCCGCTGAGCAATAAGCTCCACTTAGAAAAGAAAAGTTTAGTTTCATAATTAAAACTGCAAACAGAAAACATAGCCAACAGACAGTTGGAAGAGTGCCAATGAACAAGGAAACTAAAAAAATTAAATGCACCACCTTAAAGCTGTTTGAATTTCAAGAGTCTAGTATGATTAAGACTCTGTTTGATGAAGCTAGGCTAATTTGAAAAAAGAAATACATCAATATTAACTTTTTTTTTATTCCGCTGGGAAATCTAAAAAAGCAGTTCAGCTCCTTACGTAAAACTAGGGGCTATTGTGCCCCAAGTTAAAAATTACATGCAACTTTTTCGTGATTTTACTGGGCCGGGTAATGAAGACAAGCTCTAACAGCAAGCACGGATCACGGCGGGCCTCGAACATTCAACCTCTAAGACTAACTTCTTTATCATTTTAACAAATGAATTTCATCTTTCTTACTCAGAGGCGGAGCGGAGATTCGCACCACTTGCGATTAAACACGAGCATTTAAAACATAAGTCGAAAAATAGAAAAAACGTTTTCTACCAAAAAATAAAGTTTCGTATGTCTCGATAGAAGTTCATTTAATGCTAACATGGCAGAAAATTGAGTATTACGGTACAAAACTTACGGAGAGGAAACAAAGTCGACAATCTTTGAGCAGACACAAGTTGAGCAGAAAAAAAACATCATCTTAAAAAATCTTTACAGTTTTAGGTCCCACCTGAGACTAGAATGAAAACCACTTGCACTTTCAACTACAAGTGAAGTTGCCTACATCACAAGAGAAAAAATCAGAGAAAAAAAAAACAAGAGATTTGGCAACTAAGCCAACAATTTTTGAGCAGACTTTTTTTGCTCTGAGAAAATTTTTTTAAAAAATTAGAAGTTTCAAGTCCACCTCCCTGAACCTACAAAAACAACACTTCGAACTTGCAATAAACGTTACTTACAGGACAAACAAGTTGTGTGATGTGGCAACTAAGACGACAAAACTTTAGCAGAAAAACGGAAGTCCAACAATTCAACTTTTATCGAAATGTTTCTTTTCAACTGCATACATATTAAAAACAAGGTGCGGCCGAGAGTCAAACCCCGGACCTTAGGGTACAAATGCGACGGCGTTTACTCTAGACCAAGTGAGAAGGAAACTGGAAGTTAGGCAGGTTCATTAAAAAAGCAGGGTAAAGAAAAGTCTTGTTCTCGGTCTCAAGACAATTAATCTCGCAAGTGTAATTATAACTGATTTTAGCGAACAGGTATTTTTGCCCTCGAAACACCGCAAAATAAGTTCATTATGCCATAAAACAAATCGAAACCGTTAAATCGAAAAAAAAATAAAACTTTGTAAAATGACAAGTTACAAACGTTCAAAATCGATTTCAAAATCAAAATAAAATCCATGCTTAACAAAAACAGGGAAAAAACAGTACCAAAAAAAAACAATTTTTTTTTAAAAAACAGTAAATGATCCGACAAAAACTAGGCCGAAAACCACGAATACGAAAAAATAATTCTTGAAACATTTTTCAAGATAATTATTTGAAAAACAAACAAACACCGGAAACGGACTACACCTATTTACTAAGCTATTCACTACCTAAATGAAGATAGTTTTTTGAATTTTCAAGAAATTAAGCATGTCTAAAATTTACCAGTCCTAGACATTTGACCATTCTGTTCCTTAAATTATTTAGGGAAGAAAAATTCTAGTACTCGACTGCAATAAACTTGCTAATCGCAAGGCTAAATAGTTACACAGAGGCGAAGTTGCACTTCGCATACAAAAGCAAAATATGACCGATAACGCTATTGAGAAAAACTGAATGAGTAAAACTTTGAGTCCACAAAATTTCTTAAGTGACGCACGCCAGATATGAGTCTACATAATTGCTAAATGACGCAAGCCAATTATGACGCATTAGCAGTACCAGTCAATTTGCAAAAAAAAAAGAAATTCACTAACTAACATACCTCAATTTATAGAGCGGACGCATTTTAACTAAAAAGTTCAAAAAAACATCCGACCCTGCCGAGGTTCGAACCCCCGTATTGTGTTGTGGGTCTCCTTCCCTACCTCTACGCTACAGATCCATGATACGTTGAAGCTAAAGTGCTATTTGTAATAAAATAGTCTGTGTTAATATCCTTAGCATTGGCTGTACTTAATCTTAATAGCTTGTTATTGATCAAAATGAAAACATTTTATCGCAACAATATTTGCGACTTAGGTTCGAAAAAAAAGACAGTTCATACTATAACACAAGCTTTGTAAAAAGGATCAAAACTCCACAAAAATCAAACCACAAAAACTTAATTTTGAGCGAAGAGTTTTTCTTGAACAAAAAACAAAAACAAACACGCGACCTAAATAAATGTATTCACTTTGTTCATTGACACTTAAGAATACAAGATTTAAAAATTTGAGACATTTAACTCCATCAGCACCATTCCCCAATGCAGTCATGTTATTTTCAAAAGTTTCTGTACCTCCTTGATTAATTCTTTCTCTCTAATTGTATTTCAACCTAAAAATGTACAAATTCAAGACAGCCATTCACAATATTTCTTGTTATCACAAAAAGCTCGAAAACAATTGCAAGACAACCTTAACTCATCGGTTTAAGCCAAAAGCTCCATATTTCTACGAAAGATTATGCGATGACACGGAAATCAATTTGAGAAAAATGCAAAAAAAATCTATAACTTAAAATTTACTCACGTGGTTAACGTCGTTAGAAGTCGAATTCGCCCTTGTCGGATCGTTTGATTCCAGCGTGTCGACAGGATGGTATCAAGAGCGCATACGAAGCCTTCGTGGATTAATAAGGAAACAGTTTCCGATTACTTAAACTGCGTCTGAATCACGCTTTAGCAATCAAAGTGTGCATATAAGTAGAGTAGAAAGAGCAAAGTGTTTGGACATTGTGGTTTATGTACCAGTAAAATAGTTCCTGCAGCGCAATTGGGAAAGCAAAACAACTAAGTATAGTAGAGTTTCACACTATTCTGATTTCCATGGCTCCTCAGAGTATGCCAGGTAGAATTAGTGCAGTAAAAGGAACGAAGGGAACTTTCTGATTTTACGCATTGCTAATACAGACATAGCCCAATCAAGTTTTAACCTTCAAATCAACTATTCATTTCTCTATCTGAAACAAAATTTAGCCTCAAAACCAAACGGTTCAAACGTGTGAAATATCATGTACCATTGAGCTAGCACACCATAAGATTGTTCGATTGATATCAAATTGTATCAACCAAGCGCACAAATAGTATGACTCGATAAACACATTTCATCTTGAGCTTCAAATTCAAAAAACAACGCTAGTTTGTTCAACAACAAGCTATTATATAGATGATCATGTTCAATCAGTATTGGAAAAAAAAACGAATTTATATAATACATGTTTGCAGCAGCAATTAGTATAATTTGTACATCACTGATTCAATGATGAATCAAAGAGTATTTTGCACGATCAGGACACTTCGTCGAATGGTTTCTCTGGAAGATCGGACGTCTCAATTAACTGTCCCATTTTTTGAATTCCATGCCATCAGGGGGCTGCACTTCCACTTTCTTAGATCCAACCTCGTCCCAATTGGTGCTCAACACAGTCCCCCCAGACTCGGTCTAGAAAACAACATCAGATGTTCTCACAACACCACCGCAATATTTGAATCATTTAAAGCAGACAATGATGAAAACCCGATATTATTTCTTAAAAAATTAACTTTTTTATAATTTCTTGAAACACTGACTTGTTTTTTGAAAAAAAAAAACTATCGAACTTCAAAGAAAAAATTGATGACTTGAAGCTCTTTGAACTTCTAGACAAATGTATGGTTGGCTTTTTATAAAATTAACCCAATTTTAGAAAACTAGATCAAAGGGTAAAGTTTTGTATAAGGCTGAGAAATCTGAAAACTAAAAACACTTCCGAAAATGGAAGTCGATCACATTTCTCGTGACCGTTACTCTTTTGCTGTTCAATAGTGAAGTTTGCCTTCCTTTTAAAATAAGAAACAAACTTTGTAGGACTCGGTAAAAACTCATTTTAGGCAAAGAGCCAGACAATTTATTATTAAAATTGCAACAGAAAAAAATTGACGAAGAGAAAACAAAGCCGACAACATTTTAGCAGACACAAGTGGACCCGAAAACAATTAATTTAATTGTCAAATCCCTCTGAAGCTACACTGAATAATACCAGCAGTTGCAACTTCAATGAAAGTTGCTTACGACCCAAGCAAACCCCTCGATGTGTCAACTAAGCAAACAAAACGTCAGCAGGCAAACGATAGTCCGGCAACTCAATTTTGACCGAACTTTTTTCTTTCACTTGCATACATACTGAAAAAAAGGTCCAGCCGGGACTCGAACCCCATACCGTACGGTCCAGAGGCGACGGCATTACTAGGCCAACTAGGAATAACTCTCGAAGTTCTGAAGCTTCAACAATACAGCAAAAGGACAGGCAAATAAGATTTATAAGAAAGGTGTTTACGGAAAAAAAAAGTATAGTTCCCGTTTACAAGTAAAATTAGAAAACAAATTGCCAAAAAAATCAAACTTGCGCCTGAACAGAAAACAAAATTACCAACCCCTAAATAAGAGTCTTCAATACGATCATCTAATCTTAATACGGGACGGCAGCTGTTAAGATCAGTCCATTCAATTGTCCTTTATCTGGATTTGCATTGATGAAATGAAACCAATTATTTTCGATAGAAACTTTGATATCAAAAAAGAGATATTGGAAGGATTAAATCACCGTCTACGCTCATTAATTATTTAGTATTAATTACTTGGGAATAGTTATCACGCATTTAGGATTAAAAAAACTGTCAACGCGCATTAATTATCCCGCTGTGATTATTTAGCGCGCATAAATTATCCCAAACTGATCAAATTACCCAAATACTGATAGAAAAAACGATAATTCGAAAAAGAAGAGTAGTTCTTTATTTCGTGTCTGTACAAAACAGTCCCATACAAAACAGTCCAATACAAAACAGTCCAATACAAAACAGTCCGAAAAACAGTCCGAAAAATAGTCCTAGTAATAATTGTTCTAGAAGCTGATAAGCAAATTTATCTCATACTAAACACATTTGATTCCAACAAATCCGGATAACAATAGGTAGTATAGTAGAGAAATTAGAACAACCTAGATAACAGCAGCGGCCACTCAATAACAGCAAAAATACTCGAAACATTTAAGTTAACGCAATTTAAGAAAATGAACTCTTTTTTTAATCTATGCAAAAAGAGACAGGTTGTTCAGTATGTTTCATTTGCAAACACTTGGCAACACTCAATAGAAACGAAATTTACTATCTTTCGATGGAAATCATACTTACAAACAAAAAATCTGAGTTACTGATTTTTGAAGGGTATGCTTATATTAAACACAGAACGCTGGCAGACAAATCCCTTTCCTGGCAGTGCGCACAAACTAGATGCAATGGCCGTGTGCGTACAAAAGAGGACTCCGTTGAGATCGTTAAAGATCACTGCCACTTTCCCGATCCAGCTGACATCGAAAAACGTAAGTTCAGAAAAACACTTAAAGATCGAGCAGCAGTATCTGATGTAACACCGCGGCCGACTATTTTCGCAGCCTAACGTGATGTGAACCGAGAAACAGCTGTTCATTTACCTAGTTATTCTGCTAATCAGCAAGCTGCAAATAGAGTTCGACGCGAAAAAAGACCAAAGATGGCAGAGCCAACATCCTTGACTGGCTTTCAACTACCACTGGCTCTACAGAAAACCCACGATGGAGAGCAGTTCCTTCTTCACGATTCTGGTCCCCAAGATGAAAATCGGGTTATTGTGTTCGCCACGTTACCTGGATTAGACCTACTATCTTTATCGGATGATTGGTTCTGTGATGGAACGTTTTCAACTGCTCCCAATGTTGTCTATCAGATTTATACTATACACGCTTCTGTTGAAGGATGCCTTATTCATATTGTTTACGCTCTGCTACTCGACAAAAAGGAATCAACTTATTGTCGCCTTCTCAGTATTCTAAAAATTGATTCCCCAAAACGCGTCACAATTGATTTTGAAGTAGCTGTGCGAAACTCAATAATAGCTACCCATCAGAGTGCTCAAACTAAGTTTTGTTTTTTCCATGTGAGTCAAAGTGTCTGGCGACATGTTCAGTCGTCAGGTAATACTCTCAATTACAACAGTGACCTTAGTTTTCGCGAACTTATTCGAATGCTTCTCGCAACAGCATTTCTGCCCGTAGAGGAAGTCCCCACAGCTTTCGAGCTTCTGCAAGGTATGGCATCTGAAGAAAGTCAACCGATTTTCAATTATTTCGAGGACACATATATTGGTAGACTGACTTCTCAAGGACGACAAAAGCCCAGATTTGATATGGAGCAATGGAGTTGCCATCAAAGAGTAAAAAACGACCTTCCCGCACCAACAACGCTGTAGAAGGTTGGAACAGCAATTTCGTGAAACTGGTCAATAGTAAGCATCCATCATTTCTAAAACTGATCGAGAAGTTCTAGGACGAGCAAAATAATGCGGAAATACTGTTGGAAAAAATGTGCGCAGGACAAAAAGTAGCCAGACCCAAAAAAAACTTAATACCAAAAACTCGATAAAAACTTAATCACTATGATTAAGTCATATCAACCCACCGCTATCATTGGGTTTTTGAAAGGATGTAGTTATAATATTAAATTAAAATCAGATGTTCAAATTTCACATTTATTCTACACTGTCAAGCAATAAAATTTTTCCAAGTTCAATTATTTTCCTTGATTTTTCAAAATTGAGCTAGAGTCGATTTAAAACCGGCAAAATATTGAATACATACAAGGTGTTGATTTTTCTGTTCCCTCCGCCCAACCCTCTAAGAATGAACCCTTTGTTGTACCCTAGATATACCCGTTATCATATTTACCCGAATTTCAACTTTTTCGAAAATTGGAAAATTTTTTGTGCCGCCCGAGATTCGATCCTTTGATCTCTAGAGTTTGAGACTAACGCTTTAACCACTATACCATGAGGTCTTTGATTTTCATCCAAATTATTGTTCCAACTTTGGCTCTTTGATCTTAAATTGCCCCTGTTTGAGTTTTCAAAGCGTAGATCAATTCTGTCGGCGCGAAAAGATCAAGGTCAAGAAATTCAACTGGTTTTGGACTGTTTTGTATGGGACTGTTTTTTAGAACCATTTTTTGATGTTTCGGACTCTTTTGTATGGGACTGTTTTGTATGGGACTGTTTTGTAAATGCACCCTTTATTTGATCAGAAAAACATTTAAAGCTTTGATTTAAGTACTGAATTATTTAGACAGGGTTGAAGCTGAGCTTCGCACCTGTTGCGATACAAAGCAAGAAAGCCTGTAAGTCGAAAAAAAATCAAAAATGTCGAAAAAATAGAAGTATCAAAATGGATAAGACTAGCTTTGAAACAAGAACATGCCAAAAACAGAATGTTCAATTAGCAAGTGGTAACATACCCGAAACTTACCAAGCGGTAACAAAGCCGAAACACATCAAATAAACCCTTTAAGCCGAAAAAAATCTTAAGATATATAAAAAATAAAAAATCCACTTCACCTTCAAAACAAAAAACTTTAATGCTCGCAATAAGAAACACTATGAGAACACTAAGCCAACATAATATAGCACAAAACCTACTAAGCAGAAAAAAATAATGAAAAAGTCAAAAAAATTCAAAAAAAACTTGAGACTAATAAAAAAAATACACGTCCCCCTCGCCCTCGTAAATTTAACAAAACAAAAATTTTTTTAGCTGATTTAAATAGGCCAAACCCTATCACGCAGAAACAAAAGAAAAAAGTCACCAAAAAAAATTTGCCATGCAAAAAAAAGGATGATCTAAATCAAGATGTTTAGGTTGTTCGATCCAAATGGGCTAATGAAATGAATAAAAATTAGGTTACTAAGCCGATAAAAATATGTCCAAGTAAATTTTCTTGCTTTTTCCTGAAAATTTTTGGGCAAACAAAAATTTTCAGCAAAAAACAAGAAAAAAATAAACGTTAACATAAAAACAAAAGTCAAAGTTAGTAAACAAGTTAGTATAAAATTACAAACAGCAGAAGTAAATTAAAACACTACAAAAAACTACAATATAACTTGCGTACAGCAAAAAAAAACAATTAGAAGATGTGGAAACTAAGCCACCAAAACATAAGCAGACAAATAATAAATCGACAATTCGTTTTGAAACCGAATATTTCTTTTTGAAAAAAAAAAACAAAGGATGCTGTCAGATTCGAACAAACCTTTGCCGTCCCTGGAATATTCGTGAACTCCAGACCAAGTGTGCCAAAGATGCAAAAAAAATTAAATTTGTTAGGAACAACCTAAATTTACCGTTTCCAATTTTGACCATTCTGTGAAAATTTATTTGCGGGAAAAAACTCAAGTACCCGATTGCAATACCCTTGCTTATCGCAAGGGTAAATATGTGCAAAAAAGTGTGTTTTTTGGCTTGTTATTCACTTACAGAAGAATTTTAGAAGCGTTGTCGATTATGTCTATCTCGCTAATAATCGAAACTTTTGTATAATTGTATCATCACACCGCGCAAAAAAAAAACAATACTAACTTGCAAGAAGGTTGTTTTTGTACTTTTTTATGTATGTTGTCGGAACATTCTGTGCTACTTGCACAGCAACCGGCTATCCTTCTTGTTTTTTAGTTTCAAAGCAAAATCAAAAACCCCGAATATCAGCGGAACGAGTCGATTCTTATAACATAATTATTATTATGATTACTATTACTATGATTATTAACATTATGATTACTATTACTGTAAATTTACAGCTAAAAGCTGAAGGGGAAAGACGATCCACTGAGTTTATAAGAGGAAACCGAGTTTTAGTATCTGAAAATACAAATGTCGCATAGACACTTGTACCTCCATGAACGAATAGATTCTTCGGGGTAAAATCTTCCAAATGCGTCCCTAGTGACAATACTCTTCCTTTTGAGTCCCATCGGCTGATGAAAAGTAGTTTAGTGATACACTTTGCAGTTCTGTGCCAAAAAAATTGAGGGATATAAATCGACCTGTATCCTAGGTACTATAAAGAATTCCAGTACGCAGTGCACATGGGCTCAAAGAAAGAGAGAGATGCTTTCGCAACTCTGTCGGTGCTACCTGCTATTATTTTTGATAGATACAAAATATCCAGTCAATCATGATACATGGGAAAAGAAAGAATGTTCAATTTTCGCAGTCGTTGTGGATAACTGAAGTCGACATAACCAAAATCAATTTCGTGAAACGGTGTTGAAAATTTTCGAGAATACCGATGTCTGACTTTGAAGGGTATCAAGCGGCACTGGCAAAACTAGTGTGTTGTAAGTGTCCAAACGAGCTGCTTTAGTTTTTTGACGTCCAAGAACATAAAAAGCTGAGTAACCGTTGACTTTTCTGGTCGGAACCCATGCTGAGAGTCATGAAAGTGTTTCTGCACAAAAAGATACACAATCCTTTTGAAAGTATTTTCGAACAAAATTGAGAATTGTGATCGGTCTGTAAATTTAATATCAGCTTCCTTATACTTCATGAACCGAGGAATAAATTTCTCATGATTTGTCTAGCGCTGGCACATTTTAAAAAAACACAGGTGGGATACTGTCGGATTCTTTGGATCCTGGCAAAGAAAACAGACTGGAAATAGTCATTGAACAATGACTGCTGCTGAGAAATGACTGCATAAAAGTTCTCAAAGTATATGCAAGTAGGAATGCCTTTCGATTTTCATATACTTCGGAGTGTTTAAAAAGTCTGCTGGAGTTACGCGTACTTGCAAGACTGTGTTCGTAATTTGCTCGGTCCGATTCCAACATGTTTAGGACATCAAGTCTTTAGTTTGAAATTTTCTCCTCAAGCGCTACCGACTAGTTTCATTTCGAGAGTCTTTAGTAGCTTTATAGAAGTCGAAGAATCTTGTGTGACCCATGGCTGAAGGCTTGTTCTATGACGTATTCTAGTAGGAACGTACTTGTTGATGAGATCTCTGATCCATTCGTACCACTGATCCACAAGCGCACTTGGATTTGTCCTGCAAACCCCTTTGAACGAATCATCCAAAAAATTTTGGCTAATACCAATGAAATCTGCTTTGCAATATCTATGGACTTTGTCTCGATTTGAACACTTGCGCAAAAACCTGGGTAGTTTTGCAGTAATTATACGATGGTCGGAAAATGTTGAAGCATTTCTGTCGCTGTGTCGAAATCAACATCATGATACACTTCATTGACGAAGTCTCGGTTAGCGAATAAATCGAAAGTAATTCAATTTGTCGCCAGAAAGTCAATCATTTGAACTAAGTTGCAGTCGTCAAACATCTGAAGAAGAGAGGCACAGTATGAATCTTCCATGTCTATTGACCACATCTAATGATATATGTAAATTTTTGGATATGAATAATTACCTGATATTGATTGGCCTTGACTTATCTAGTGCGTTTGATACCCTTAGACATGATTATTTGATTGGAATCCTGAAAAATTATATTGGTCTTTCTGATAACATATTGAAATGGTTTAGATCGTATCTCAGTAACCGTCGCCAAAAAGTTTTCATTGATTCACATTACTCTGACGAAGTTAATATTGAACACGGTGTTCCCCAAGGGTCGATCTTGAGACCCCTTTTATTTTGCATCTATGTTTTACCACTTCGTGATGTGTTTCTTAAACTTAACGTATCTTATCAATCTTATGCAGATGATACCTTATTCTATGTTGCTGCAAACTTCAAAGAAAACGATTTTATCAGTGTCAAGGAGAAAGTTAACTCTATTATAATTAACGTGCTTGATTGTTACAAAAAACTTGGTTTAGTGGTAAACCCCGACAAAACTGAAATTATTTCACTCGCAAAACCAAACCATAAACTGGACCTCAAATCGTTTTTTGTTGGCTCATATGAAGTTAGGGTGTTGAATGAATTGAAATCATTAGGTGTACTTATTGATAAAAACTGGAATGCGGTTCCCCATATAAACAAAGTAACGCAGACATATTACTTCGTCCTGCGGAAATTATACAGCGTTGGCTACTACTTGGATTTTAATAACCGTGTTATTCTTGTGAAAAATCTTATTTTATCGCGACTGGATTACTGTAATTCGCTGTTTTTGGGTTTACCGGACAAATTGATTAAAAAATTACAACGAATACAAGATGCCGCTGCCAGATTTGTGTTTCAGGCACATCGGCAGACGTCGGCAACGATCCTTCTACATGAACTGCATTGGCTGCCGGTTTGTCAGCGTATTAAGTTTAAGACTCTAGTTCTTCTCCACAAAGTACTTCATGATGACAGAATGGCCCAATATTTTGATGACATAGCAATATCGATAAGGCAACGATTTTCGATCAACAGAAGGAATGCCACCATACGTTTATCCATGGCGCGTTCAAAATATGGAAAGAGATGTTTCACGTTTGCAGGACCGAAGTTATGGAACAGTCTGACGCACGAGCTTAAATCAGAATCGGATGAATTGCTATTCAGGAAACAGTTGAAAACCCACCTGTTTCGACAATATTTCTACTAAGAACAGAACACCTTTGAGTCTAGAAAGGGTGTCAAAATAAACCCATGAATGAATGAATGAATGAATGAATGAATGAATGACCATCTATATATACTTTCTTCGGAAGCGTTGAAAGCGCATAAGATGCTATAGCTTTCAACAGCTTCAACACGACACGCGATGACATCCTCGAGATGCATAGACAGGAAGATAGGGGAATGCTTCAAGTCGCTCCGAACTGCCAACATGACACCCCAATGTTTACTACTCTGGTTAGACCTTTCTTTGCGATACAGACACAAATTGGAAATGCCCAGTTCGCTGTCCGGAAACTCTTCATTCCGCCATGTCTCTGTGATAGCGTACAAGTTTGCACCACATTTGTTTACAGCATTGCAAAAAGCATTTCTTCGCTCTAGGTTTATCAAGCTTCTATTATTTATAATTGTTATTTTCAATTCAGTTGCGCATTTCAACACAGAAAAGATATCGGTTTTCTTTAACTCTAATCAGCAACTGACGTTTATCCATTTGTCCTTTAATTTCTGCTGCAAATGGTGCCCTCGCATTCGTAGCGACTAAGGATTGTAGTTCTCTTCATCAATCGGTCGTGTTCTTCCTTTCAAGGCTTTGTTTTCTATTTCGGAATCTTCTGTTGACAGCACGGGCAAGAAAAACCGGCGAAGCGTAAGTTTTTAAGCGGCTTGCAGAGTTCAGTGCTTGTCTTCTATCTCACTCTGAATTCAGAGTCGGCAATATAGTGCGTGTAATTGCTCGTTCTGCAGAATATGTGCCAAGTCTGCTCATGCTTTGAAATGATAGTGGAGAATATTCAGGTGTTTGAAGATCTTTATCATTTCATCTCGGTCATGCTCATCTCTTAGTCTTCTGTCATTTCCACCAGCTTCTGAGATTCCTCTGATCCTTAAGGAATTCTGGAACGGGAATCCAGAAGCCAGAGGGGGCTGATCTCTCGTGGTAGGCTCGTAGGGACCGTGTCGCCCACCTATGATTCACCAACCATTGCCGAATGTTCTTCACGTCCTCAAAAACTGACGCAACTTTTGTATCCACCAAATCAAGCAAAGCATCACTGTTTGCCGATACCGCTTTCTCTGATGTCGATTGAATATCAGTTAGCTATTCGTTTATGTTTGGCAAAGATCGCTCAAATCGGTCAAGGCGTGTTCCTTGATGTCTGATAACATTGCATAGATCGCGAACCAAGCATTGAAGCGAAGCCGTTGTTGAAAATTTCAGTTTTCAACAACATTTCGAAACAGTCTCTGATACTTGCAAAACTACCGACTTTCCTCGTTGATATTGAATTGATTACAATCCCAGCCATCAAAGCTTTCTGTTAGACAAGTTGTTTGCAAGAAAAAAATTCTGTTCTACGCAGCCATAGAAAAATGAATGTTGATTGCATCAAGATTACTCACAAAAGACTTCATCATGGCCCTTTGCTGTTCCGGAGTCCCGTCCTTGAAGATGTTTTGAAACAAACTGAAACAAAAGCCAATGATTACGTTTGAACGGAAATGACCTTTCAATTTAAATACAAGAAACCTTTTTTTTGTTTATTTAGTCAATTTTTTAACGCTCAATTTTTTAATCGGTTCCAAAAAAGCACGTGAAATTTTTTGTTCCAGTCAAAGCTAAAACTTCGCAAGTAAATTCTTATTACCTGTTCAGTCCTTCGTCGCCCTCCTTTTTCTCTTCTTTTTCTTCTTTTATTACATCTTGTTCAAGTTTATTCCAATCGGCTGATTTCTTTTTGGAGGACGTTGGGTAGCTTAATTGAGCGTGTTGTGCAGAAACATCACCGTTATTTGTCGGAACTGCAAATTAACACATACTAGAGTACAAACAGAACTCCATAGGTTCAATCATTTCAGCAAATTGAGCTTATCATTGAATTGGCTTATGATGCAACTCGGTAAATTCTAAGCAAAGTCATTTCATGGTTTATTTTCAACAACATTTCAACTGAATAATTATTTTGAGCTAATACATCACTTTTCTGTTTTTGGAAAAATTCTTTGTTTGAGGAAAAAGCCAGACTCCACGAGATGAGGCCAGCAAAGACTAATACGACAAAACTGAAAACCTCAATTACTGCAGGGTTGAAAAAATATTGTATTACCGATTACAGCTCCAGCAGGTGTCGGGGTCGTTCCATCTTTTGATTTCTGAACTGTGGTCCATTTTAAATAACTCTTGGCATAGAGCTTCAACTCTAGCTTTGAAGACAGGATTTTGTATGATGATCTAGCCGCTTCAATTTCAGTGAATAATTCGAAAGATTCTTCGTGAAGGCCATCTAAACAACAACAAAAATTACGGGGCTGAAAAAAGCTAGCAAAAAAAATTGCAACTAACGTGAACAATAATATACCAACATGAAAAATGTTAGTATGCTAACTTTTTTTTTGTTAGTATGTTAATAAAAACATTAAAAAATTGAAGTTTTTCATGTTAGTTAACATAAAAATTACATAAAGACTATCATCAAAAATTAAAATTTTTATGTAAAAAAACTAGCATAACTAACATAAAAATTGAAAATTTATACCTGGATTACTGAGTTTCACAGCAAGACTTCTATCCTGAATATCAATTGTTGACTGATCCTCGTTTATATTTTTCACGTAAAAAGACACACACACGAGGTTGTCCTTCTGGTAGAAATCCTTCCTAAATCAAGCATTATAAAGAGAAACTCAGTTTATATATTTTCGGCTAAATATTGAAGCCAACAACAAGCAGCTCACCGAATTTCTGGCATCCCAGTTTTTGTTTCTAAATTTTCTGAAAAACAATCAAAATTTCCTAGATTTACGCAATAAGAATGCAAGAGCAAAATACACACTGAGGCGAAGCTTTGCTTCGCAAACACTAGCGAGAACACGACAAAAAGCAGCTCTAAAAAGTACGATAACAATAAAAACAGAAACAAGCCTCAAATTAGCGAAAATTCGGCTAGATCTAGGACTCGACGTGCGACCTACTGCAATCAAGAGATTTTGAAACTCACGATCTAACCATTCAGCCAAGCACGCTTAACCACCGACAAACACTTGTCACGAATAAAGCAGCTATGCTAAAAATTGCCAATGCATTTCAGCAAAAATGGCACCAAATACAAATAGACACAATTTTGTATTAATTTGGAATATAACAAACTGAAGGCATCCGCCTTAACTTTGCATGTAACAAATCGGAAAGCATAAAGCCACATTATGTATAAATTATGCATTTCAAGAAAACTGCTAGATATATTGAGTTAGAAAATTTCTGAAATCGAGTTTTCATTATTGTTGTTACTTGAAACAAATAACTTTTTTCGATTCATTTGATGAGTTAGGAATGCATCAACTGTTTTAATTAATTTATTACTATTCGAATGCCACAGCTTATGCTATCAAAAAGCTGCAAAGGTCCACCAAAAGTGGCACCAATATTTGCGACTAAAGTTAGAAAAAAAGAAGGTTCTTAATAATTTACTAAGCTGACGCTAGTGTAAATTAAAGGAAACATACATACATGGAGACGAACCAAAAAATTCAAAATATTGCCTGGAAGGATGTTCTAGTTACGTGAAACATAACGATAAATTCAATTAACGGCGCTTGATAAACATTTTAAAAAAAATTATCGAGCGGCAACTCACGCGACAAAAAACGAACACTTTAATTGGGTAAACTCCCGTAGCACCGAAAAGAAATCTGTTGTCATGGAAAATTTTAATAATAAAAATCTGCATTCTGCATCAAGCGATTTTCTTCGCCAGAATAATGGCTGGGAAGTTTGCCAGATATGTCGCGCTTGAACAGAAATTGCTTTGTGAAAAGAAGAAATTTTCAAAACATTGCAATCTTTTCATTGTCTGTGGTGACAGATCTAATTTCTAATGGCTTTCTTTTTAACCTATTTAAGCTTGTATCCAGCATCCATGAGGTGACTTTGCGTTGAAGGCTCGATTACCTTAAAACCAATTTCGGACGCTTTCCAGAGGTTCGAACCGTACGAAATGATGGACAAAATTTAACTTCTTTTAAGCATCTTTGTTCTTTTCAATTGAGAAAACTTTTAATGCTTCTGCTACTCATCTTGAAGCCTACTCACTTCAAGTGATATTTACTGCAATCTTGACTCCTGAAATTTTTTGCAGATAACTTTTCAATTTTTTTTGTGTTATTCAGTGTAACTGATTCATAACAATTTTTTCAGATAAGGTATGAAGATTCTCCACCTTTTTTGAAGCTTCCTCGCCCAATTGAGATTTTCTGCAAACATGATTCCTGAATCTTTTCTCAGATCACTACTTTCGATTTTTCTATCATTCAATGAACTTTATTGATTTCTATTTTTTCAGATTGAGTTTTACCAACTTGTGATCTTTTTCGCATCAATTCATTCCTTTGAATTGGAATATTTTACCGTTTTCAGATTTACGAAAACTGGTGCCTCTGGTGCTTCGAATTTTTGAAAACTCGTTAAGGAACCGCAAATATTCAAGAAAGATCTAGCACCTTTGAGTGTACTCTGACACTACTCAAAAACAGGGTTCATTATTTCAAATGTTGATTATTTTTTTCTATGAGTTTTTAAATTCAAATTTTGAAAAAACAATTAAGTTTTGTGAAGTTTTTTATATCTAAGTTTTTTGAAAATTTTTGAAATGACAAAAAAAACGTAACATCATGGAAACTATAAGCACTTGAGCGGTCGCATTTGGATGCAAAATTTGCAACTCCTGAGATTACTCTCACATTACAAAACTACATGGTTAGGAATTTCGAATTTTTTAATTAGTTTCGAAAAAAAATTGAAAAACCATAAAAACGTCAAATCTGGAAAATTATAACAACCTCAACAGTCATATGTGGCGGCGAGATTCGCAAACCCCTCGAGTACTAAAAAGTCATATCTCGAAAAATACGCAAAAAAGTGCCAAAAAGTCATATCTCAAAAAATACAAAAAATTGAGCAGTCATAATCGGAGGTAAGATCAGCAAACCTAAAAATATTCTGACAGTCTCCTCGTCCATTACAAGGGAGAGGGCTTCAAAATTCAACTGAAATTTCAAAAACAACCAACTTTAGTTTGCTGAAAACTTTTTTGAAAAAATTATAAAAATATCATAACTCGAAAACTAAAAAGACTTGAGTGGTCATATTTGGAGGCCAGATTTGCAAGAGAGTTCTCTGACAGCTTCCAACTAGGGTTGGGAATTTCAAAATTTGAAAAGAAAATTGAACTTGTCATATCTCGTCAACAACAAAGATTTGAACAGTCATAATTGGAAGTGAGACTCGCAACCCCTGATAGTATTCTGACAGCCCCAAATAGTGTGTTGGGAATTGAAATTGAAAAAGAACATTGAAATTAAGATTTCTGAGTTTTTTCAAAAATCATTAAAAAAACTTCATGAGACATCTACAAAAAAATGAGAGCATTTGAGCAGTTGCATTTCGGCGCAAGATTTATAACTTGAAACTCCTGAGAGTACCCTCACAGTACTCAACTACAAGATTAAGATTTTCAAATCTTTAGAATTTTTTAAAATCTAAGTTTTCTGAAAAATTAAAAAGAAATCATAAAAAAACTTCGTATCTCGAAAACTATAAGGATTTGAGCAATCACAGCTCAAGGCAAGATTCGCAATCCTTGAGAATATTTTGACAGCACCCAAATACCGGGTTGATAATTTCAAATTTTTGTAAATTATTTTATAAGTTGAGTTTTTTGAAAATCCTTGAAAAAATTACAAAAATCGTCTTATCTCGTACACTGAAAGGATTTGGGCATTCTTACTTGGAGACCAAACTAGCAACCCCCAGGGAAACTCTGACAGCATCAAATTTTTCCATTGCTAACTTTTAACTCGGTGGAACAAACACTAGATTCAAACTGGGAAATCGAAAAAAATCTTACGCATTGCAATATACGATATAGCTTAACCACGCATACATACGTTATGCCCTTAACTGTTGCCAAAAAACGCCTTAAACATGGCAAGATAGTGTCACACGCATTTAAAAATAGCATAGATTAAAGCAAAAACAAATTTCCTAGATGTGACAACTGAGCCGACAATTTTTTGAAGGCAAATCATAGGCCGACAACTTTTAAAGATGAAAAAAAACCATGGTCAGATTAGAATCCAGGACCGTTGCTGTTCCTGTCGTTCTTTGCATTACCCAGACAAAGTTTGCCTGAGACAAGAACTAAAATTTTATGAACTAAGATCCCAAGTGATTCTGTTACAAAAGTGACTAATTTAAGATAGTACACGTCAAGATACATCAGTTTAAAAAACGAACGTTTTTGCTATAAATAGCATCATAAGGTATGTAATACTTGAAGTGAGAGTATTTACGAATAAAAAGCTGACAAAACAACTGATTAACTTGATCAACACAAATTAACAGAAAAACAAAATAACAAGGAAAATGATTTTTGCTCAGTTTCCGTTTGGAAATATTTCGTTCTCCAAAACTGGTCCAAACTTTTCATTTTTTATCATTCTTTGTTCCACATTATACTAGTTGCTCAGTGTGTGCTCTCGGCTTCTATACCTGTCAAGCGTGTTCACATGGGTCTTTCTTTTAACACAGAGGCGAAGCTGAGTTTCGCACCACTTGCGACACAAAAAAGTTTTAAAGAAAAATCGAAAAGATCGAAGCTAGATCTATTAAATGAATAAAGCTAGTTTTGAAAAAAAAACATGTCAAGACAATAGAATGTGTAATAAGCATTTGAAGATAATGTACCAAGCGGTAACAAAGCCTCAAATACCTCGTCAGAAACCTTTTCAGAAGTCGAAAAAAGATCAACAAGACTCCAAACTACTTCTGAATAGTTAATAAGTCAACCTCACCCTCAAAAAAACTTTATTTGCTTGTCAAATGAAACATTATGAGACCTCTGAGCCGATATAATATAGGCCGAAACCTATTAAGCCCAAAAAAAGGGAAAAAAGCCGAAATTTTTCAAAATAAAAATCTAAGACTAATAAAAAGTCCCCCTCAACCTCAAAACACAGACACACACACGCACAAAAGTTTCTGGCTAGTCGAAAGATGCAATATAAGGCCAATAAGCCGATATAATATATGCCGAAACCTATCAAGCCGAAAAGGAAAAAAAGTCGGAAAAAATTGTTCGCATGAAAAACTTGAACATAACACTATAGGAATTTTAGCATTTTGTGCAATCCAGAGATGAGCATTAAAAATAGGTTTCTGTTGAAACGTTTCAAAACTAGGTCTCTAAGCCGATAAAAAATAGGCCGAAATCATATCGGCAGAATAAAGTTTTTGAACGAAAAAAAATATATATACAGTTTCGAGAAAAAACACATCATGAATTTCTAGACATTGATAAAGTAAAAATTTTCAGAACCTTTAATTTTTAATGCATACAAGACATGAGACAACCGAACAAATTAACTGTTTTATTTTTGTGTTTACCACGGTTTGCAAGATTTTTCGTTAGAGATTGAAAGAAGTACGCCACGCCTGCTCATCCTTTAATTCATACTTATGCTCCAAGAGGGGCCTTCTGCCAGGGGCAGTCAGGTTTGTCGTCCGAGTTTGATGTAGCTTGTACCCAGGTTCAGGGTTGTCGCCTTTTACACTGAAAAGTTATCTGCCGAGGTGCAACTTTGTTTTTATTTAAATGGCTCCTCTTTGTCAATTTGTAATGCCAGTGCTTCGGCCTCCTTATTATTCGTGGCGATCACTTTAAAAATATTTGCGTAACCCAAAAAAATTGTTCGGGACTTTTTACTCGGGATGATTGTTC